CAAAGCAGACCAAACATACATCATGCTCATCACAAGGTGTGAAGGGGCCTGGCGCTATACACAGGAAAGAGGCGCCAGGTCCAGACATACACAGACGAAGAGGAGGGGATCAGAGGAAGAAGAGGAAAGGGGAGATGGGAAAGTCGTCAACACCGCATAGCTTCCTCTCCCGACCACGGGCTGCTTGTCGGGACCGCAATGCGCAACATTATGCGCTAATCTTCACACATACTTATCCTTCTATGCACCACCAACTTCGTCGACGGATGACGAAGTCGCGGTGGGGGACATCCTTGCGTATGTTACCAAGGTGGCCCGCGAGTTTCGCAATCAGCAGTACGACGACAACAACGCACAACTCCTCTATGTCCGCATCCAAGTTGGGCAAGCGTCCTACAACGCTTTGCTGGATAGCGGCGCGTCTCGCAATTTTATGAGCCAAGCCTTTATGCAGAAGGCTGGCCTTCGCGCACAAGTTCGAAGGAAGGCAAACCCGACAGCGATCAAGTTGGCGAACGAAAGGACGCAGCAACTGATCAACCGCCACATCGAGGCCGTACTGGTGTATTTCGCACCTCATGCATGCGAACCAGTGATATTTAACATTTTGGACGCGGACTTCGACATTATCTTGGGAATGCCTTGGCTTGCAAGTGCGGATCACACGGTCAACTTCCACCGGCGGACTCTTACCGTTCGTGACGCCTTCGGCGCTGAAGTGTCGTGTATTACTCCTCTTCGGCACCCTTCGATTCGGTGCCAAGTGGTGACGGCCAAGTCATTCCGGGCTGCTTGTGCTTACGAGCAGGCCGACGAAATCGGCCTATGTTTCCTACGGACCGTCACGGTAGCCGACGTTTCACCCACGAACTTGTCTTCGGGACCCCGTGTGGTGCGGTTGCTTGACGAGTTCGCCGACATCTTCGAGTCACCTACCGGTGTGGTGCCGGATCGGCCGGTCTCTCACGAGATCATTCTTGAGGTCGGTGCCGTGCTGCCGAAAGATTGCATTTATCTCATGAGCGAGGAGGAGCTTACGGTCCTCCGCGCGCAACTCAATGATTTGTTGGACAAGGGCTTGATCCGCCCTAGTAGCTCTCCATACGGAGCGCCAGTTCTCTCCGTACGGAAGAAGAACAAAGATCTACGATTGTGCATCAACTACCGCAAGCTCAGCGCACAAACCGTCAAGAATGCGGGGCCTCTTCCCCGCATCGACGATCTTCTTGAGTGATTGGGCGGCGCAAAGTATTTTTTTAAGTTAGATTTGAAGTTGGGATATCATCAATTCTCGATCCAACCGAACGATCGTTACAAATTTGCGTTCAAGACGCGGTATGGGCATTTTAAGTGGGTGGTCATGCCTTTTGGCCTCACCAACGCCCTGGCGACCTTTCAAGCGGCAATGACCAATGAGTTTCGTGCAATGTTGGACCGGTTCGTGCTGGTCTACTTAGACGATATGCTCGTCTATAGCCGGTCATTAGAAGATCATCTTGAGCACCTTCAACGAGTGTTGGAGACGCTCCACCGCGCCAAGTACAAGGCCAACCGCGATGCGGATTTGTCCGGCAAGAGCTGGAATACTTGGGCCATTTTTTCACACCGGAGGGCATTAGTCCGCTATCGGACAAGATTCAAGCCATCCAAGAATGGCCAAAGCCACGGAACGTCACGGATGTACGTTCGTTCCTTGGCATCGCCGGCTACTGCCAGCGTTTTATCAAGGGTTGCTCGAAGATCGCGGCCCACTTGATCAAGCTTCAATGAGAGGATCGGCCGTTTGACTTTGGAGAGGATGCGTGGGAATTATTTTTGGCTCCCAAAGCCGCGCTATTATCTGCGGAGGTCTTGAGCATATACGACCCGCTTTTGCCTACGCGCGTCACTACGGATGCGTCCGACTATGGCATTGGTGCCGTCCTCGAGCAACACGATGGCGTGGACTGGCACCCGGTCGAGTATTTCAGCAAGAAAGTGCCCGTCGTGCACGCCATTGACGATGCATGCAAGAAGGAGCTCCTCGCCTTCGTCCACACGCTCAAGCGGTGGCGTCACTTCCTCCTTGGCCGAAGCCAATTCTGATGGGTAACAGACAACAATCCGTTGGTCTTTTACAAGACCGAAGACACCGTCAACAACACCATCACTCGATGGATGGCTTTCATCGACCAGTTCGGCTTCTTTCCCGATCACATTCCGGGGAAGTCGAACCGTTTTGCGGATGCTCTTTTGCGGCGTCCGGATCACTGTACCGCGGTCTATTCAACCTTCGAGATTGACAACGACATGCGGGACAGCTTCATCCGCGGCTACCAAGCCGACCTCGAGTTTTGTGACAAGTACGCGAATTGCTCCTCTCCTAATTCGGCGCCTTCTCACTACTGGATCCAAGAGGGGTGCTTGATTGTCTACACATGAGGGAAGGACCTTCTTTGCGTACCGAGTGACCCTCACTTGCGTACATGGCTTCTTGGCGAGTTCCACGATGCTCCCGCCACCGGACACTTTGGAGTCGATCGCACGATTGGCTGACTTCACGAGCGATTTTGGTGGCCCGGGTCTCGGCGACGTCACACGCTGTTGAGAGTCATGCGAGGTTTGCCGACGCTGCAAATCCCACAACCATCGCCCATACGGCGAGTTGCGACCATTACTGGTCCCCTTGCTCCAGGTTCCCAAAGCTATGCACGTTATTCATGACTGGGCTACCTGTTTTTAATTTATCACAAGCTAATATATAAGTAAATCTTGTAGATGTTGTTTGATGTTGGGGTTGGGTAGATCCAGAGTACCAGCGTACTAGGGCAATCCCTGAGGAACGATTTGGATCATATTCGATTCTTTCTACCTTACCCGCCAACGAAGTGTTACGTTGAAAGTCAATTCTTCACTGCAATCATTTTGTGTGGGAGCCTCATGGAAAAGGGTGATACGACCTGTGGAGGTGAAGGGAAGCAATTGTCATGGACATTACCGGCCCGTTCCCCAAGCACAAGACCAGCGTGGATGGGATTCTCACGGTGTGTCGACCGACTCACCAAGGTCGCCATTTTTTGCCTTGCCGCTATCATGCCAAGGCACCGAAGTTGGCCGAGGTTCTTTACGCCAGTTGGATTCGAACGAAAGGTTACCCCAAGGAAATCGTATGCGACCTCGACATTCAGATCATGTCCGATTTTTGGTTGGCGCTCATCAAATAATGGGGCTCATCTCTCAAGCCAAGTTCGGCTCGCCACCCCCAAACTGATGGTCAAACAGAGAGGGCGCATCAGACCGCACAAACTCTCCTTCGCACTCTCATCCGCCTCGACCAAAAGGATTTGGGTGAGCGGCTACCGGATGTCAAGTTGGCCTACAACTCGACCATCCACCTGGCTATCGGGATGTCGCCCTTCAAGTTCGAGCACGGCTCACCGGTCACTTCGCCGTTTGACACAATCATTCCACGAACGGCCAAGAGCGACGACCATCTTCTTTTCTTGCGTCGGATGCAAGAGCTACTTGTCAAGGCACGCGACTAGATGGCCAAGATGCAACGACGCATGTGCCAGCAGGCCAATCGCCAGCTTCTTCCTTGCCCATTCCGCACCGACGATCTCGTTTGGGTTTCCGCCACGGAATTCAGCCTTGAACAAGATCTCTCTCACAAACTCCTCCCGAAATGGATGGGGCCCTGGCCGATCGTGGCACCCACTGGGGATGCACCCGAGGGACCTTCCTTCACTATTCAAGTGCCCGCCCACTTGCCCGTCTACCCAACCTTTCATTGCTCCAAGTTGGCTTTTTACACACCAGCAGAACATGACGATATTCCCAGGCGACGTTCCCAACACCCACCCTCTACGGACGGTTTTCAGGAGGTCGGCGACATCATCTCCCAGCGACGCTACGGCAATAGGCCAACCGAGTACTTGGTACATTTGCATACTGCACTCACAAAGTTGACCGTTGGTTGACCCGTGTGGAACTCCAAGCAACAGCTCCGGATATTCTCGCACGCTACGAATGCAAAAATGCAAGGCAAGCCGGTATGTTCGGCTCCACGTCGCACCCGCGTCCAGGTTCCACCTTCAGATCGTCAGCTTCGCCCTCGACCCGGCTCGACTTCATAAGGAGGGGGGGGTGTTACATGCTGCGCCTACAACAGGCTGCACGGGCCATTTCCAGGCCCATGACGTTTTCAGGCCAAAAGCCTGAAAACAAGGGCCTACAGGCCCTGTGTCGTTTCAGCCTGAAAGCCTGAAAACAAGGGCCTACAGGCCCTGTGTCGTTTCAGGCTAAATCAGGGTCTTTCCGGCCCTGAGTGTTTTCAGCCTGAAACCGAGGGCCATTTTCGGGCCCTCATCGGTTCGACCTGCCCTCCTCGGACGTGAGCGGGTCCAATACCTCTATGTTGAACTCGCGCGCCGAATCCCGTGAAGAACCACTTGAAGACGATAAGTTGTCGTTGATGCACAAATGTCTTGTCCTTGAGCATGAGTACCCAACGTAGGAACGAGCCGGGCAGCATAGTCCTAAAAAGAATAAAGAAGAGGACTATCGACTTCTGCATGTGCCTCGGAACGAAAGGCGGTCACCCGCGAAGTGACCGGTTTCAAAGGCGTCGAGAGTGTCGTCGAGTCACTCCCGGCGGTGCTCAGTTTCCTGATTTGCCCTTGCCTTTCGACTAGCAGGCCAATGCCTCATGGAGATCGTTGTTGCACCATAGGCAATAGTGGAATCTCGTGCGTGCTTTGTACGCTGTTTTGGAGAGACCGAAGTGAGACCATGGGGCTGGAGCTACTGCACCGGGCCCGGGGCTAGATGCGGTGTTTGTCTTCGCCTTGCGCATCCTCCGTCTTTGCCGGGGCGGCCACCTTCCCGGGCGGCTGCGAGTCTGTCCCCTTCATTGGCAGACACAGCCTCGCTAGTTTGGTCGTTTGGCATTGCCGCCGCGACCACGACCACGACCACTTTCGGTCGATGCTATCCTCTACCCAGCCCTGGCGCAAACGAACGAGGGAGATTCTTGGCCTCCTTGTTCGTGACAATAATCTGCGGGGCCTTGTCGAAGAGTTTTGCCGGTGTCGTCAGGGTGTCCTCGACGTGAGTCAAGGCATTCCCTAACGCCAAACACGACCTCGAGATGAAGTAGTGTTTGATGGCTTTGAAGCCCATTTGAATGTCTGGGACGGATGCCAAGCGTTGGTACCCGACAATCCAATCAACACTCGGCAGCGTGCCTTGTTCGAAGACCATCAGCTTGTCCATTGCCTTGATCACCGGCGACTCTACTTGGAACCGCTTATGCCACGCCGCCTTTAGATCATCCCAGCGGATCTTGGTATGCAAGTCGGCAGCTACCACTCCCAATTGGACAAGAGATTGTCCAACCATGCTTGGCACGCGTCCCCCGAGCGGGAGTATAAGTACCCGTGGTGCTTGTGTTCTTTGACGTTGTGTAGCTGTAACGTGAGCTCCAACTTGCGGAACCATGAAATCGGACTTGTTTTTGTCGAGTTGCAGAAGATCTCCTGACCATCGAACTTTGCAGCTGTCTCGCGCGGTTCCGAGCTCGAGTGGTTGGCGGCAGTACAGATCTGCTGCTCCAACTGTTGCGTCATGGTTTGCTGTAACTGCACGTCGTTCGAGGCGACCGGAGGTGTTGGAAGAGTTGGCATCAGGGGCGGCGACAGGTCGCTGCTCCAGCTGCCGGAGGCGGCTGTGGACTTGAGTCAACGCGTCGTCGAGGCTGTGGATGTCCTCCTGCTGTGTAATGCATGTGGCCATGAGGTCCGTGAGATGGGAGAGGAGTAGAGTGATCTTGTTTTCACTGTCTTCCATCTTGCCATTCTCGGCCTCAGCCCGCCAATCCACTGCCATTGTGAGCAAAGCTTGCTCTCCGCTGAATATCTTCTCGTGACGTTGGACTCGTTCTTCATCGGCAGCCTTTGCTGCTGCCTTGTCGTGCTCGCGCTGCTGTTCAATTGCCAACAGATGTGCCTTCTCGACGTCCTTTGCCTTCTGCTTTGCTGCGGCTGCTACTGCATCCGACCGTTGCTTAGCTTCGGTAATAAGAAGCAGCATCCGGGCCTGATAGGCCTCGTCCGTTTCCCCGGACTTCTGGTCCATGACAGCTGTTTGCGAGCGCAAAAGCATAGACCAGGTCGGGGGCCTGCTGATGTGGTACTCCCTGCTGCTGACGTGGCACTGTTGTCGGCTGACGTGGCCTGCTGACGTGTCCCGCTGACGTGGTCCGCTGACGTGGTCCACTGACATGGCCTGCTGACGTGGCAACTCACCAATGCCGCCGCATGGGGTACCCGGAAACGGATAGAGAAGGTAAGACCAGAGGGGGCAACAACATAGGTGGGGAGGGGTGGGTGGGTATAAATCGCCCAGATAAGGAGCCACTAATCAAAAAAGAAAAGCTTGTACTTTGCAAAAAAAAAAATTGAGAATATAAAAGTCCCGAGTTTTGCAAGCTCAGTAGGTCTCCCAACCTCCCTTGAAGTGCGAAATTATCAATGAGAAAAAATTCTGCCAATGATTACAAGGTAGTGAAAATCATAGAACTGCGAGTAAAAAAAATTCCGAAAAGAAATAACCAGTATTCGGACTTACTCAGATGAGAGTATTCGCAGTTTGGAAAATGGTACTGCAAGAGGGATTTCCCGTACCGTTTTCAGAAAAACGAATTTCGGAAAAAATATTCCGAATTTCCAAATAACAGGAAATTGCAAAAGGAGATCGTAATTTTCAACAAAAAGATATTCCGGATTTCCAACAATGAAATTTCGGATTTTCAGAAGAAAACGAAAATGGACATTTCAGATGTTGCGCTATTGCGATTTTCCACAACAGATATAGCGGGAAAACAAAATCCAAGAAAATAAAAAAATTTGATTTTCGGCAGTGAGGTCCAAATCGTGATTTTGGGCGCTAACTAGTGTGCTCTAATCAATCAATCAAGACTAATCAGCTACCTAGTCCCTGCACACGTGTCAGATCAGGTTGTCCTGATTCACGTGCGGTGTTCCGATACCAACTGTTACATGCCCAGTTGGGCGATGTACATATAAACCGAGGATCCGCAATGTGATAAAAAGGACTGAATGGACAATGCAGTGCAAGTGGAATCTCAACAAGCAACGTGCATTCCGATACATTCAAAATGGTGTTTTATAGCGCAGTGGAAGATTTAGATACAAGTCCTGACCTGACTGGGACTGACCTCTTTCACGTAGTACAAGATAGCGAAGAAGAGGAAGGGGGAGATGGGAAAGTCGTCAACACCAAGTGTCGTTACCATAGTTGCGGCGCACCAGTGCGCAGTGCGGTGCGGTGCGGTGCGCACTGCGCTGTGCGCTGGAACGACAGCGCGCGCACTGTGCGCCATGCGCTTTGCGCAGTACGCAGTGCTGTCCGCTGTGCGCGGTGCGCGCGATAAAAAAAAAAAAAAAAAGATAGGCCCCAAGAGAGAGAGAGAGAGAGAGGGAGAGAGAGAGAGAGAAGAGAGAGACAACAAACGGTACCCTTCTCGTCAATTCTAGGCCCCCTGCAGGTAACTCGAATGGCTCCTACAATACAGGTGGAGCCATTAAGGGCCAGCTAAAATGACAGGGATGGCCTCGTCACGTGTGGGAGAGATGTGGGCAGACCACCAATATATGCTGTGGATTCGAGTTCAGGGCTGTAGCTCGGCAGTTATGGGTCACCAATTCAAGTAGACCCTGTTCGTGTCTCCACGTGATTCTCAGGGCCTCCCTCCACCACTCACCAAATGTATATAATATTAGTAGAATGAATCTTCTGCTGAAACATGGAACCATACACCGCCATATGCTATGTCTTCTGTGCATTTGGTGAGTAGTGGAGCAGGCCCCACTGGACGTATTCGTAAGAAAACAAAAACAAAAAAACGAGAGAGCAGAATGAATCTTCTGCTGAAACATGGAACCATACACCGCCATATGCTATGTCTTTTGTGCATTTGGTGAGTGGTGAAGCAGGCCCCACTG